TAGGGGATGGACCATAGATTCTATCTCCCAAGAGAGCGACAATGCGGATGAGATGGAGATGCTCTAAATATTAGTCCATATCAGCTGCTTCTACGAGTGATGTTTTGCCATTTTGGCTATATAGAGGAGAGTAAGGGAAGTTTTTTCTAAGAAAACGAAGAAAAAGAGAAATGTCCATATTGCTTATACGGAGGAATGGAAAGCCCCAAAATTTCTTGTGGGAGCATTGGTTGTTTCCTCCGCAAAGTTTTTCCTAAAACACCAAGTATCATAGACGTATATGTGCACACACATAGTGCATTTACATTACGTTCACCAAAAAATTGGAGAGGTAGAGCTTGAAGTGAAGTGTGTCTCGGCGACAACAGATACATTTACGATTAACGATAGTGTATATTGATAGGAGTTTGTTCCCATATTACATAATATCTTGTTTCCTCTCCTAACTCTATGCGGCTAGGGCAAACCTTTTTTCGGACCTCACCGGCGAGCCCATGGATTCCTCTCCCCTTTGTCTTTAGGTGGCCTGTGACGGGGATGGGAATCCCGGTTCCTCCACTTAGTAGTTTAGATTAAGGTTTTTTAGTCCTTGCAAGTACTACGCTCGGACGGATGGCGGCACTTCTTCTTCAAATTTGCCTTTCGGGTTTCGATCCTCCTCGAGTTCGTCCGTTTGGACATACTCGACGGACGAACTCGACGGATCTCCGGTGTAGATTCTTGTCGTCTTCTTGGAGCGTTGAGGTTAAGGTTTCTCCTCATGTAGCGAGATTTCGTGTCAGATGATCCAGATTTATGCAAAGGTTTAATAACAACGATTGCGGCTCCAGGGCGATGTCACTTAGGGGCACGTGCACGTGCCTGAAGACTTCCCGATTGTCATTGACGGGGTCATGACGGCTCCGGTAGGGGAGCAGCAACAATGGCATGTTGGCAGCTCGTTCTGCCGGCTATAGTGGTCGTGCAGTGGTCGCGGAATCTCGATGTAATTTTTATTATGTTTGAAATGTTTTGTACTTCTGAACGAGCTTTTATAATAGATCTGATCATTTCAGAGAGAAGAGAGAGAGAGAGAGAGAGTAATGACTGTGTATCAACACCGGCTGTAAAGCCCAAATTATTCTAGTGTATGGACTATTGTTGGCTGAATCAAATATACTTCATGAATTTGGCACTGCAAACTAATTTTAAGGATTGACCATACCCAGCATATTCCCCATTTAATTTCTTGATGAAATTAGCACAGCCAGACACAGCCCCTTTCTACTCCTCACCATAAGAATTAGTACCATCTGCGCGTCTTTTCAGGCCATTCTATCTGTCTTAAGAGTTTTTTCAATCGTAATGTTTCCTGAGACTTTCTCTGTTCTTTGTTGTTTCGTCTATTTGTGTGGCTTAGAGGGCGTCATCTCTTGCTTGTATGAGGTCAATTTTTTTTATATAACTTTGCATTATCATTTATTTAGTTCCAACGACTCGAGAAGTCGAGATTCACATGTCTTACTTTACTCGATGTATGTTCTTCCTTCTGTCTTCTTCAATTTTTCCGGCTGGATGTTATCATATGGTAGCTCGGATTAGGTTGTCTCAGAATTTGAAATTATCACGACCATTTCCCAGATATTCTATATGTTTAAAAAATATTAAAAACATTTTCAAATTTCATGTTAAAGAGTTTTGATTTTAGTCTAATAAATTGTAGGAGTAACTCTTAATTGTAGAAGAAAAAACTCATAATTATCACGACCATTTCCCAAGATATTCTATAATTGTAGGAGGAACTCTAAAATCAAAACTCCTCAAGAAATACTCGAAAGACTTCGGTAAAAAGGCTGCAATTGGACTGGAGCAACGATGTTGTCATCCTTTCACACCCGCACGAACATTACCAATAATAATTTTTGAAAGCACCTTGAGTCGCCCATCCAAAAAGATTAGAAGCCTTGATCGGTGAACGTACTTTGGCTGGGATGATCCCCTAGAAGTAAACCCGGGCATGGGCAGCCCGGCCCGACGACCCGGCCCAAGCCCGACCCGAAAAATCCGGGTCGGGCCGGGCCGGGCTTGACACTCGGGCCGGGCTCGGGCTTTGTTTTGCAGCCCGAAAGGTTGTTCAGGCTGGGCTCGGGCTTCTCTTTTTCCATTTTTCGGGCCGGGCTTTCGGGCTTCGGGCCGGGCTTGCACGTACACGTACAAAAAAACAGCGTTCGGGCCGGGCTTTCGGGTTTCGGGCTTGATTTTGGGCCGGGCTCGGGCTTGAAATTAGGGAGTATTTCGGGCTTTGGGCCGGGCTCGGGCTTGAGAAATGAAGGTCGGGCTTTTATAAGCCTGGCCCGAAACCCGGCCCGGCCCGACGTTTGCCCAAGTCTAAGTGCACAACGTCGGATCACAATATCTTCACCATGATGTGGATGTAACACTTTAGCTTCACAAAGAATCAAACCAATAAAATATGATGTTGACATGCCAACCTAAACTCATCAGATACCAACAATCGGATCTGCGAGGACTGGAAACTCTTTAACCTCATGGCACCGTCGCCAAAAGAACGAGAGCAAAATTTATTCCCACAAAATACGATGATCACTAGACGATGACGAAGAACGTAGCACTCCTGAAGATGCGAGGTCCGCCACCTCTCGGCGCAAAGACGGCAGCCAGAGGCGTGGGGCGAAAAATTACTTGCGGCGGCGGCTGCAGCAAGGAAATCCTCGCTCGTTTACGTACTAACTTTTTCTTTTGTTAATTAAAAAAACTTTTTTTTTTGTTGTTCGGGGTAAGTGGGGAAATCTAGCGGTCGATTTGAGGCCTGACTACTGGAGGCCCATTTTGCCGCATCTTTTTGCCACTTACCCTGAAAAATTACTTGCGGCGGCGGCTGCAGCAAGGAAATCCTCGCTCGTTTACGTACTAACTTTTTCTTTTGTTAATTAAAAGAACCTTTTCTTTTGTTGTTCAGGGTAAGTGGGGAAATCTAGCGGTCGATTTGAGGCCTGACTACTGGAGGCCCATTTTGCCGCATCTTTTGCCATGGCCCAGGGACGGCCCGTTTGAACTTCATGCGCATGCATGCAGGTCATGTCCCCGGGACCTCCTATGTGCCGCTCTTTCGGCGAAGAGACGCAGTTTCGCACAGGCGGCCCCTGACTGGGCCGGCCCATGACCTTCGGTGAACATCTGTAGCTCCAAAAAAATCCCAGCGATCCCATGCCGCCAACAACGAGCCGCAACCAGCTGAGCTAGCGTGATTTTATGATTAGGTGACAGCGTCAACCTATAAGAACCAATAGACAGCGCAGATCCGAATTAATTTTGGAATTTTGAAAGCAGTTTTTTTAAAAAAAACTGAGTGTTTGTGAAACATAAACACTGTCCAAATTTGCGATTTGTTTTACAAAATTGAAACACTTTTCGAAATCATGAACACTTTTTTTCTGAAAACAGGAACCTTTTTGAAATTCCAAATGGAAATTGTAAAAACACGAACATTTTTTAAAACTCCCAAACAAAAGTTGAAAATACGAACAATTTTTAGAAAATTTTGAACAATTTTGAAAAGAGAACATATTTTTAAACACAAAAAAATTTAAAACATGAACATTTTTTGAAAATGGGAACATTTTCTGAAACGTTATGAAATTTTTTAGCAGAAACATTC